AGAGAGAGAGAAATTAATTGGTCGCGATAATCGACCATAATTTACGAAAGGAAGGATTATCGAATGTAAATAAAGGAAACGAGAGGAGGGGGGAGATAAGAAGAAGAAGATATCGAAGAAGGCGAATGGAATCGATAGCTGGGTTATTAAGCTGACGCGAAAGATTCTCGAGAGAATATGTCGTAGGTGGTCCGGGGCGGCGTCGGTTAATTAGTTATCGTAAGTAGTACGAGTCGACGACGCTTGCAACGCTTGGTGCCGCAGGTGCACACAGCTCCCCTCCTTCCCGCAAGGTGTTTACTTCGCTCGTTCAGACGAGCCACCGAATAACGAATTCCGTGCAGCTGCGGACGCGAATCCCACGGCAAGTCTGCTCTCTCGATCGACGATTAACAATTCACGAATCACGCGCATACGATCGGGATTACGGTGCTTACGTGAGTAAGGCTCGAGACTTTAACATATAATGCGATTAACGTGCGCGCTAATAATGCTTTTCCAACGTTTCTTTACAAGATTCCCTCCTTCCAATTGAGTTTTCTTTCCTTGATGTTACGAGATTAACGGTGGTAGAGCGATTCATTCTCAAAGAATTTAATGATAATGCGAATTAATTAATCAATTTATGTTTCTAACAAAAGAAAAAGAAAAAAATATCGATGACTTTCCGATAATTTTTTCACTCAGTCAAGAAATCGAAAGAAAAATAATCGTCGCGATTGGAAAATTTGAAAAGATTCTATATGTAAATGCCAGAATATTATTATTTTCCAAAGGTAATTTCGAATCGTAATAATAATAAGGATAGTAGTAATAAGGAATAGTAATAATAATAATAGGTAAATTAAATAATTTTAATGGAATGAGGAGAAACCGAGAAGAAAGTAAAGATTGAAGACAAAAAGGGGAAAGTTAGGCTGTCTTCATCGATCTTAGGATTAAATTCATTTCGCTTTTCCTTTCGATAAAATTTCTTTTTTCGAACGGATAATTCTAAATTAATATTTTTGTCTCATTTTATTTTTTGGTAAGAAATATAATAAATGATGGAAAAATATTTATTCCAAAGAATTCAACGAAACTAAACGATAATGCAAATTAATTAATCAATTTATGTTTCTAATAAAAAGAAAAAGAAAAAAAAATCGATGACTTTTCGTTCAATAATTTTTTCACTCAGTCAAGAAATCGAAAGAAAAATAATCATTGAAATAATTTTAATCTCAAACTATTCGCGATACTGATTCGAGAGGCAAGATAATTATTACGAAACGAAAATTATTCCGTTCGCATATGTAAATTCGAAGGGTAAGGTAAAAAAAATCCGCTCGCAAAATAACATAACTCGTGGCCGGTCATTCATCCCCTAAAATCCTTCCTAACCTTGACATCGAACGCGTGCCGATATATTTACGATCGGCATCGATGAGAAGATGAATAGAATCGATGGAAAAAGGCGAAACACAACGAAAGAGATTACCCTGGACTTGCGTTTCGAAATCGTAACTCTCCTCTTCCTTGTCTACCTTCTCCTTTTCCTCCTCCTTAGCACAGGACGATTTCCACTCGACGACGTTTCTTAACACGTACACTCTCCACCTCACGCGGCCGAGGTGTTTCCGCGAAACATTACGATGATAACGTCGATTTCAAACGTGCCTGCGCCCCTACTTATTCGTATGTACAATCCGCCGAATCCACCGAACGGAGAAAAAGTAAGAGCAGACGAGAAGAGTAGCCGGTTCTTTCGTCCCCGGAGAACTATCGCTAACCACCACTTTCCGTGCTTCGTGTATGTACGTAGTTCGTTTCGTTCGTCGTTCGTTGTTCGTCGTTCGTTCGTTCGTTCGTTCGTTCGTTCGTTCGTTCGTTCGTTCGCTCGTTCGTTCGTTCGTTCGTTCTCGACGATGCTCTCCCCACTCTCGTCACTACGCGCTACGCTACGAATCGTTCGCTCTCTCTCTATCACTCTGTCTCTCTCTCTATCGTGAAACCAACCCCCGAGAATAGAGCCCTCCGCGCCCTCCTCAGCTGTCGCGCAACAACCTGGCTCCCTTGGTGGCGCCTTAAGCCGCCCTGCCAGCTTGGCCAAAGTCGCCGCCAGATCGCACCACCGGATCCCCCGCTGACCGATCGATCCACGTGACGTCACCACGCAAGCGTTCTAACAATCTCGCGAACTCGACTCACCGCGACCACGCGTCCTCGTCTTTCTCAGGAATATGGGTCCCCCTCCCCCACCGCGGTCAAACCGTTAACTTTTTAAACGTAAGAGATACGTACGATCCAAATTTTACATGCGCGTATCATAGTTTTCAGAGGAAAAGTTGTTTCGTTTCGTTTTGTTTCGTTTCTCGGTGAGAGGGTATATTGTATGTTTATATTGTACGAAGAGAAAGAGAAAGAGAGAGAGTATTAATAGAGTGTTTCGGTCACGATCACGCGTGACAATTGAAAGGCACTACGCGAGAGCAAACCGTTTGCAAAAGACAAAGACGCACAAACTTATCTTTCAAGCGTGCTACGTCAAACGCGACTATGCCTGCTTCCTCCCTCTCCTCCTACGTTAAATTGATTCCTCGCTTTGCCGCTTCTTCCTTCCCTATTGTCTTTTCCTTCGATACCAAAACCGAACCGTGTTCGGTTTGCCTTATTGTTTTCACGTTTAATCGGGTTTACGCGAGATATCAACAAGACATGCGCGTATCATTTTACTCGTACGAATTCTGTTCTCTTTCTTTCCTTTATTTTTGTTGTTACGTTACGTTACGTTTTAATAAAATTTTCTCTCTACATGCTATATTCGTATTCCTCTCCATGCTATATTTCGTTGTTCCTTCCTTCACCTACGCGTTCTCGGTAAATTCACGCAGTAGCCACTTTTAAATCAATACGCGTTTTCCACGTATATCCTTACATGCATAACCGCGTCCGCACCGCGTTTCGTTCCAATTAATAAACCGCAACCGTTTTTTTTACATCATCCCGATTTCCATTTTCCATCTCGTTTACCAGCAACGTTCCCACGTAAGTGTCTTCTATAATATAGGAAAATAAATAGGAACGAGTTTTACCGAAAACGAAAACGCGTTAAAATTCATTGATCAATTTGAAAACTGTCTAGGAGAATAGAACATAGCGATATCGTGGAGCTCGAGAGAGGGGGGAATAGGGATATCGAATAAAGCGTTTTCCAGCGTTCTTGCTCGAGGATTCATGCGTAATCTAAGGAATATGCTACGAGGACTCGCGTTCTTTGTTGTGTGGCCCCTCGCCCTGCTTTCATGGGGTCCAGGATGATGGAGGAGGAAGGGGATAGAGAGGGGTTTGGGGCAAAAGACGAGGGCGAGTATATTGAATTTCCGAAAAGCGCGTTGGGTTTCAGCGGCAAGGATGATACGAGCGGCTTGCTTGCGCCAAACGAGTTAGCGACCCTGAACCAGGCTCCATGATACGCCCCCGGCTGTTTCGCCTATTACAAAACGCACCGTTACTTTGCTCGTTCAACGATTAACTCGCTCGTTCGGTGGATCAAAGTTAAGGAGCATTTTGTCCCGCTCGGTGAGGAAAAAATATATCCGTATTTGGCAAATTTCTTTATCCGTCCCGTTATCGGAAAATGAACGTGTTCTTCCTCGTTTACGTTGCGCCGGGTATTGCATAGCCGTACAAGTGCTTGGATCGTGTCGAGGTTTCGAATATCTGTAGAGAGGGTAAATTGGCACGAGAGGATGCGAGGAACGAACTCTCTCTAAATTCGAGCCATTCCTCGATATAATAAGGATAATCCACTCGAATTTTTTGCGTTTTTCACGAATTCTTTTTTTTCCTTTTTTTTTTCTATATTATTGTCATCCCCTTACTCGTAATATGGAGATCTTTGAAGAAAGAAAGGATACAATTGCAGCTCGAACAAATAACTCAGAGTCGACTTTCCTGGCTGAATACACGATCAACACTCGAGACTCGTTTAGCTCGAGTAGCGTACAAACATTTCTCGGGTTTATCGATACTTTGCAAATTTGTCTTCGATTCGAATTCTAAAGAAGAAGAACATCAGTGGAAATTGACGAGAAGGTAAACGATATGATCGAAACGACGGAGCTGAATGAATTTCGATCACCTGTTTCAACATCTTAACGCGTTTCATAGCTCCTCTTATTACGGAACATTTTACAAACTGTTAATTAACATCTCCTTTCGAACTATCGGTATAATCTTGGTATATGTACATTCGAAAGTTCCACTTTTCTTCCATCGTCTATGTAGGGCACTCGCGATGAATTATTGTCATCCGTCCAATACTCTTTGGATGGACGACACGTTCGAAGGAAATCAAATGAGATTGAATAATCGAACGCTCCAACGAGATTCTACTCGACCGAGACGAATCCAAACCCAATGCGGTGAATCTAATCGAGATGATCACCACTGACCCCATTCCTATCTTCCCTCCCAACCCCCGGATCTCGATCAAATTTCACGGTCCAAATCCTCCCTTATTATCGTATTTATATTTATATTGTGTTAAAAAATTTTTAAATCTTGAAAAAAAAATATATGAAATTATTACGTGGAATTAACGAGCGAAATTAGCGAGTCTTCTGAGCGAATTCAGAAAGAGGAAGAAAATGGAAAAGATGAGAGGCGGAGGGAGGAATAAGACATCCGAGCAAGTTTGTTTAATTAAATCGAGGCACGTGAGCAAAGATAACCGTACTAAGTCGAGTAGAACCGAGCATGTAATTGGAAGCTCGTACGAAATTAGCCCTGCAAATTTCGTCTAATTAAAGGCCGTCGGTGAGAGGATGACTACTTGGTGGATGCCGTATTAAGTCTGATTCAGGCGACTCAACTTCGCGAAGTGATTCACGCTAAAATAAGTTGATCAAGTGGTGATACCTCTCTTACATTTGAAAATTAAAAATTCAAAATTTTATTCTCGCGTAGGATCGGATCGATCTTCGGTTCGAGTCAAAAAACGAATCGGATTTAAAAAGGAATCGCGATTTTCAATTCGATAGAAATTTATTTTTAACTTTAACTTATTTTAATTTTTTTAATTTATTTTTAAGAGACGAGAAAGTTGAAGCGAATTCTTCAATTTTTATTTTTATATAGAGGAAAAGAAAATGTTATTTTTAAGAAATTGAATTAAATCAAAAGTAAAAAGTAAAAACTAGGCACAATTTTAATCGAGGGGGAACAAGTTAGAATTCGCGCATCGTGTGTGTTGACAAATCTGGCAACTTACATTTTGCGTTTCACGAGAGGACTGGTGTGACTCATTCAACGCGTCACTGAAACACGTGCACCAAGAAGCAACACGATGCCCCGGTAGAAATAAACACGAACGAAAACACGCATAATGTAACTCGGTGTCCCTTTGAAGCTTTCCACCGAATTTCAAACCTCTTCCAAACAATTGAATCAATATTACTTCTTTTTCCTTTGTTTCTCTACAGGGCATAGCATAATAAAATAACATTAAATCGTAAATTTCGCTCGATCGATAATCTCGTGGAAAAAAAAATATTTGTTGTTTCAAATATTCGTCCATTTTCTTTCTCAATATTACTTCTTTTCTCAAAGAACAGCATAATAAAATAACATTAAATCATAAATTTCGCTCGATCGATATTCTCGTGGAAAAAAAAATATTTGTTGTTCCAAATATTCATTCATTTTCTTTTTCAATATTACTTCTTTTCCTTTCCCTTTCTTAGAGAACAACAATAAAATAATATTAAATCGTAAATTTCGCTCGATCGATATTCTCGTGGAAAAAAAAAATATTTGTTGTTCCAAATATTCGTTCATTTTCTTTTTCAATATTACTTCTTTTCCCTTCCCTTTCTCAGAGAATAGCATAATAAAATAACTAATAATAATAAACAGCATAATAAAATAACATTAAATCGTAAATTTCGCTCGATCGATAATCTCGTGGAAAAAAAAAATATTTGTAGTTCCAAATATTTGTAGATAAGAAATGTATCGTTCATTTTCTTTCTCAATATTATTTCTTTTCCCTTCCCTTTCTCAAGGAACATAATAAAATAAAATAACATTAAGTGGTAAATTTCGTTCGTTCGATATTCTCGTGGAAAAAAAAATGTTCTAAATATTCTTTTATTTTTTTTTTCAATATTACTTCTTTTCCCTTCCCTTTCTCAAGGAGAACGTAATAAAATAAAATAACATTAAATCGTAAATTTCGCTCGATCGATATTGTCGTAAAAAAAAAAGTGTTCCAAATATTCGTGGATAAGAAACGTATATATCGTTCTTTATCTTTTTCTATTTCAATGAAAAGCGCAACGTTCACTCTTACTCGCTGCCTTGCACTTACCTCTCGTGATCATGACCGTAAGACGGATTGATTCTACGCGCGTACAACGAAGCACCGCCCTCGGACATGTAACCGTCGCACAAGTCGGACAGAGTCCTGCTACCGACGGTCATACCACCGCGAAGAACCTCCCCGTCGCTCAGATAACCGGAGGCGACGTCGATGTCCGCGTAATCGTGACCGACATGATGATGAGAGGAGGAATGAAGAATCGTGTACTGTCGCGCGTTCGTTCTGCTGGGCAACGTCTGAAGGGCCCTTGCGCCAGGCGTGTAACCGCGGAGCAGAGGTTGCATGGGCTTCACCGTCATCTCCGCCTCGTCGTCGCCCATCCCTCCTCCCCCTCCTCCCCCTCCTCCCCCTCCCCCTCCGCACGTTGAACTCTCGGACAAAACCTGCGAAATCAATTTCTCTGTACACTTCTCTGTCTGTTCACATTTACAACAGGTGTATGCAATAACAGATTCTTTAATACCTTCTCCATTTGCTCGAACGTGGTATCGATTTTTCTGTTCGGTATAGTTTTTATCTCGCTCCCGCTCTCGCTGCTCGGCCTGTAAATAACGCTGCTGTCGCTGGAATTGCTCTGACCGGTGCTATTCGAATTGCTGTGCGAACTCTCGGACATTAGATCGGATATACTTGGCATAGGCGACACCATTGCGACCGTATTCGGATCGAGCTTGCGATGCAAAACGTCTGCTTTTAATTTCGTGGGCGTCGGTACGCCCGGCATGTTGTTTTCCTTCGGCGGTTTCGAGGTGCCTTTCACCAAGGCCGTGGGCTTCGGAATGCTGGAACCCGGACTCCCGGAACCGATCAAACTCGAGCCTTGCAACGGCCCGCTGCCCGCCATCGAGTGCTGTTTCCCCGCGCCAAAATTAACCGCGTGATGTTGCTGCTGCTGCTGCTGCTGTTGTTGCTCGACGATGGTCGTCGGAGGGCCGATCGCTTCTTGAATACCCGTCGTTTTCGCCTCGTTCGTCGCCGCGTCAGGAGGGTTGCGAGGCAGGAAGGGGGACGGCGTTTGCCTCCCGTTCCCCTCCAACTCGAGCATCTCGACCCGTCCCCCCTTCAAACACCCGCCCTGCCTCGCGGAGCCGTCCAAGCTCTGCTCCTCGTCCGCGCCGATCTCCTTCCGTTTCCCCTCCATCGCCGACCTCTGCTCGCACAGATTAGCCTGATTCATGGACAAAGTGTGCTCGATCGTCGAATTATTCTCGTCCTCGATCCCCTCGTGATCCTCCGCCTGTTTCATCGTCCCGTTGCTCAACAACAAACCTTTCTGGGCGAGCACGTCTTTGTTCAACCCGTTCGGCGGAACCTTTTGAGGCTGGATCTTCGCCGCGTCCGATAACTTGGCCGGCAATTCCATCCTCGGCCTCGTGCTCGGTTGCTGCCTCGACAGGCTCTCGTTCTTCGAGAGGCTCTTCGCCTCTTGCACCCCGATCTGTTTAGGGCCCGTCGATGACGGATTCGATTTTTGCGAAGCCTGGCTCGATTGTTGTTGCTGCTGCTTCAACAAATCGTGCAGATTCGAGGATCTCTTGGTCTCGAGGGAGGCGGGAGGCGGCGGCATCATTTTGGCCGCCGAGGCGGCGATCTTGCCGCTCGGCTTGACATCCTCGAGGGGAGGCGCCGCGTAGACGAGCAACTTGTCGGCAGCGCCCTTCGTCCGCGCTATCTTGCTCTGCCCTTTGCCCTGCTCCTTCCTCCCGGCCTTCGGGCTCGCCTGTTTCCCGGCCTTGGCCGACTGCAACTTCGACTTGAGCGCGCGGCTCTTGGGCGACTCGACTTGAAGCTTGCTCTGGTCGCAGAGGGACGTCGAGCTGTCCGAGTGCTCCGACCTGGCCGAGGAGAAGCCGGACGAGCTCGAGGTCCGTTTCGAGACGCCTGACGAAGCCTTGCCCCGATCTTGGCTCTTCTCCTTGTTGTTGAAAAGCTTGAACTTGTCCAGCACCGAGTTCTTGTTCTGCTGGGGGGGCGCCCCCGCGTAAGGGGAGGACTGGCCCCCGCCCCTCACACCCCCCGGCTTGCCCACCGTCGAGGCTCGAGGGCTGAAACGTTTAATTTCGTTACTTTCGTTTCGAAATTCTATTCGTCGAGAATAAGATCGACCCTTTGCGCTCAATTCATTTTCATATTTGCGGAATATAATTGTCGCGGATTGAACTAAATGTACGTTTGCTTTTCATAGTTGACAAATATTTCTGTAAATTTCAATTTTATAACCACATCTCGAAACATTTATTTTAATTCGTTATAAATTATATATATATTATATATATAATATATATAAATTATTTATTTATTTATTTATTATATCGATAAATTTATTTATTTATTTATTTTTTGATAAATTAAGGTTAAAATTAAAAATTAAGTAATTATTTCGTGTTAGAAATTCAGAAATGTGGCTCGAGCGGCGAGCGATTTATATTAGATTTCCATCTCATTAATAATCGAGCGCAAAGGGTTAAGATTATCTCGAATTCATGAGGTGTTAGAGGAGATTGATATTTACCTCGGGGTGGTGGTGGAGGGTTGCCTGTTGGTCGAATTTTGATTTCTCGGTTGGGGAATGAAGGAGAGTCCGGTTTGGGGTGATTGTTGTTGTTGACTCGGACTCGTGCTTCTGGAACTGCTCGCGCTGCCTATGCCGCCGTTTCCGTGCTTCAAACCACCTGAAACGAAAGATCGTTGGGTTCGAGTTACAATTATTTGTTTTTCGCCACATATCGGTATTTTATTTTGAAAAATCGAAGGAAACGAGAAGAAATAGTTGCTGTTCACTGATGCAAAAGAAGTTAGAGGAAGGAAACCTTTGTTTTCACACGCATTTCGACAATCTGTATCTCATAGCCATGGAATTTTAATTTTTAATTCTAAATTTTATTTGTTCACAATATGCGTAAACTGATTATTAGGATTTGTAACGATGGTTTAATTTATAAATGTAATTTGAGTAATAATTGTAATAATTGTATGTGTACGAATAAAGTGAACACGTAACTTGAGAAACGAAAATAATTTTTACCACTATGTAGCGTGTGGTGCGAGAATTGTCAACAAAGCGCGCGAGGTGGGGATAGATGGTCCTAGCGAAGGACCCCTCTTGCCCCTCCACCGTCCCGCGAGACTTTTTTCCACCAGTGAACGGTGGAATTTTCGATAAACTGTGGTGGCAATAAGACACAGAGACGAGGGAAGTCTTTTAGTCCAGGCAAAGATAAAGGTTTGGATAATCTGGAAAATATTCTGGAGATAAGTGGACTTATTTAATTGGTGATATTTAATTAAAAACGGATGGACGGAGAGTCTTATAATCGGTCTGGTCTTTTTCTATAACGCGTTCGCACTGTCATTGGTCGGAGGTCGATAAAACGACGATAGCGGTTGGCTCGTTAACCGAGCACAGTCGTAATACTGTGCCCGGCCTCAACTCCTTAACTGTGTGTCCGAGAAATATGTGCTGTTTGCAGATAAAATAAACCACGGGCTGGCCTGTGTAGTACATACACGTGACAGCGTGCATTTACCATGCAAGGAGATTAATCTACTACCGCCCATTGCTCAATCTGTCGCTACTATAATCGCGGACATTGTTTCCACGGAGTAATTTACGTTATCGTGGGACAAAGTTACAACGTATCGAGTTAAATGGATAATGATCCACCGTATATTTTTATCAGTTACAAACAGGGTTACGAACAAAGATTCGAGAAACGAAACGGCAGAGCCAATAATGGGAAAAAATTAACGCCTCTCGAGCGATAGAAACGATACGTACGTACGATTCTCAACGGAGGAGACGAATGTTGCGTTTCCAAAGTCGAAAATCAATGGACGGAGCGATTATTAATCGCGTCGAATAGAAAATTGCGGTGTAGATGTCTAAATTGCCGCAATGAAGATCGCCTGATAACTTTTAATCTAGATCATAAAACAGCTGCTGTTATCCTGATCCGCTGTCATGACACAGCTGGCACAACTTACGCAATTCATCGCTCGCATCATCGTCCATTGTCCCGTATACCCGTAATTAACAGAAACGACTTATTAATACATATATTAACGATCATCATCGAATATTATTCGACATCGTTATAACAACGAAGAACGTAATAATCGAAAGCTCATTTTTCGAAGAAAAAAAATCGGACAAATTAACACGCGCTCGAAGATTTAAACCAAATCTCTCCTCTCTTGGTCTGCTTGAATTTAATTCGTGCAAGGGCGGTCTCACGTTCGATCGATGCTCGTCGCGGTAATCTGCGAAGCCGCGATCATTGGCACCGGTGCTCACGCTTATTCGCCGTAATAGCAGGGCTATAATTTGGCCGCCCGGCCGACCTCGGCTCAATTGTCAAATCGCTACGACACAAATCGGGCGGATCGCGCCACGAGATAAATAACAATAGGGACTGAGAAAGAAGGAATCCCGCGCTGTTATATATATATATATACATATATATCTGTTTAATCCCTCGATCGATCGTCGTGTACACGTGTACCCAGCATTCATAATACGGCATACGCTATATATATATAAGTGTCGGTTATATATCGGTGAATCGCATTCTTTCGTGTCGCGAATGGAATTCGAATTCGCTGGGGACAAACGAGCGAAATGAGAGCGCGATTGAAACGGGATTTGCAATTCCATCTGAGGGGAGGGAGGGAGAGTTCTATCGTTGATTAGAATTGGAACGAAAGAAATGTCGGGTCGAGTGCTTTTACGGTTGGTTAAGAATTTTAGAGAGTCGTTTTCAATGCTTTTTTTTCTTCTTCTTCGCTTATCGGGGAGCGATCGGTGGGCAACCGGTGGTGGCAAAGAGGGACAGGGCCGAGAAACGTGACCAAGCATTAGAGATGTTTCGCTCGAAAATGATTCATCGGAAGTCGACCCACGACCGATCGATCCTCCCCGCTAGATATTAACGACTTATCCGCGCGTTTCGAATTCTCGAAAATAATCATAAGGTGGATCATAAAGGACGCAAGGGAGAGAAACAAGCCCACTTTTGCACCGTTTTTTCCCTCCCTCCTTTTCTATCGTGAATAAATATCCACTATGTGTTCGATATTGCCTCGTTACTTCTCTCTTACGTATACGATACCGATTAAATTTGATGGGTCTATGATCGAACGATTCGCATCGCAGAATACGACTCTGTTGCTATTGGTGTTTGAGTAGCACTCGATAACAGAGTCGATCAACGAACGAACGGACACGGCTACTTCAATTCGATACTTGGCTCACTCTTGAAACTCGCGATACCGCTATCGTGCTTCTTGTTTACGGAAGATAATTAATTGCAAATATTGTGTCGATGCTCTTCGCTATTTAATTAAAAGAAATAATTATTTCGCTGTTTAATATCACGTTATTATTATTGGCAAACCACCGTGTTTGGTTAATTAAAATTATTGCCGAATGATAGTTTCACTGCGACCATGATCACCGATTATTAATTCTCGCACAAAGAAAGTAAGATGCAATAATCGCGAAAACGCGTCGTACGCGTCTATATGTGAAAACAGAATAAAAACGTAAAAACAAGTGCGATTCTTAAAACGTTCTCTCTTTAAAACACACACACACACACACACACACACACACACACACACACACACACACACACACACACACACACACACACACACACACACACACACATAGAGAGAGAGAGAGAGAGAGAGAGAGAGAGAGAGAGAGAGAGAGAGAGAGAGAGAGAGAGAGAGAGAGAGAGAGAGTATTTTTATCTTGGAAAAATTACTACTAGCTATTCCTTATAATTAAAATTTTGTGAACATATATCCTCGCTTATTATTACATACGACGATACACGCGCGTATCTTCGAAAACGACGAGCTAGGAATATGATCGTTTTAGCGTGTGTTGAAGCGTTACGTTACGATCGTCTACAAAGAGAATAACGAGTTTCAATTAAAAGAATGGAAAGAACGTGAGATGCAAAGGGCTATGGAATTCCGCAACACGCGTGTTGTTAGGCAAGACTTGTTGCGCGTGCGAAAACGCAAACGTTCCTCTTGCATTTTCTTCCGCGCTAAAACGTTAATTTATTTCGTTCTAATTTTATCTCTCTCTTTCTCTCGTGGCTAAATTTAAACGGAAAATAATTTGTTCGTGACAAGTAAACTTCAAGTAGATTTCTATAAAGACGAAAGAATAATAAGAAAACGAATGAATTATAAGAAAGAAAGAAAAAAATCGATTCGATGCTTACCATTAAATTGAATAATAACCGTTAAATTGGAAATCGAACAGAGAAGCAAAGACGAGGCGCACTTGATGATGATTTTTCACAACGAGAAAATGTCGCGCGTTACACTTTTAACCGAATAAGCGAGGAGAAACGATCACGGCCGATTATGGGAACGCGTCCTCCCGTGTTCTCGTTCTAACGTAAACTCAACGTAGTTGGATTTGGTAGGAGCGCGCGGCACAGCTCCATACCGTTCCACTCTGCACTCTCCTCCCTCCTTTTGTTTCGTTGGTATACGGTTCGTGGCGAGAGTGCATCGATGCACGAGGGAGCAACGAGCAGCGGTTGCATTAGTGCGTCTTTAACGGTGTACCAACTCATAAGGGCATTGCATCGAGGTTGCACGCTGCGTGCAAACGTTCATCCAACGCCTGTCCGTGTATACACTGGGTTGCGCGCATGCGTACGTGCGCGTGCGCAAGTGTGAGTCGACGCGATTGACAGGCCAAGGCGATTAACTTCAGTGGCGATTCTTTCGCGGATTCTTACTCGTTCCCTTTCTTCGCTTTCTTTCGCTTTTTTTTCCTCTCCATCCTTTACGCATGGATTATTTCGTTTTCTTTCTATGCGGTGAATAGAAAGAGGGATTAAACTTAACGTTTGTTATTTTCTTTGTTGATTTAATCTGTCGATTGACAAATTATTTCGTAATAACTATCGAACGAGCGGGATATTCATTGTTCGGTTCGATCGATAAGAGAGTTGAGAATCGCTGAGAAACGTGCGGTGCATGCGATATATACGTACGGAACTCGATTGGCACACCGAAGGATTTACCGGGAACGGAAGATTGGTGGAGATTAGCGGCAAAACGATTTCTTCACGCTCGTCCAACGTAACCACGCGTTTAAACTCTCATCAACTTATTATGTACACATAATTAGAGATTAACGTTTCCAATAAAATATTTCATATTCATATTCTGACGTTGAAATATTAATAAACTAGAAATGAAAGTGCATTTTGCTTCTTTCTCTTTTTTTTTTAGAAAGTACCACTATTTTTTTCTCACATTTTGGAATTAAGAAATTAAATTTACGTGCTCTTAATCAGAATTAATAGTCGTAATAATTATCATATATATCATATATATACAGATATCATATATATACAGAAAATGGTCAAGCTAAGGCGTTTTTCATCGCCTCGAGGCAAATGTCAACGTATGAGAGTAAGTAAACGTTCTTAGATTGCCATACGAGAAGGCTTACTCCCACGTATATTATAGCTGGAAATATCGCTTTTTGTTTTCTTTCTCCACCTCCGCTTCGTATTAAGTTACGTTTAAAGATAAAGTACCCAGATGTATTCGGCATTAACTTCGACGATCGGTTAGAAGCAACGCTTACAACCGTTTCATTTGTCAAGGTTGAACAATATTATCGAAACGCAAA